ATAAAATTTCGAAAATGTTAGCTTGGAATTAAAAAGTCAATTTTTCGTAGGATTTACTTGAAGCCTTTTTTTACAGATCTTTTGAAAAGATAATAAATTGTTGCATAAATTTCATAACGCAAGATGTTTAGCTACTATTATTTATATAGTCTGATATTTGTTCTTAATATTATGGTGACATTAACTTGTAATTATATAAAATTATATAAAATTTTTCCAAACGTGTATTGCAAGAAAATTTTATCGTTGTTACACATTATGTATCAAAATTACTCGATAATCTTTCTTTGTGTATCATATTTTATTTAAAACTAGCAGTAGTTAATACATTATGCAAGTTTCTAAAAATAACAATTTCAAAATATAAGTGTATAATATTAACGATAGTGAGATACCTAACCCAGTTTTGCAATATTATAACAATTTATTAATTAGAATATATACAACATGATAATTTTTGTATCAACAATTTGGTATCTATGTGTCGAATATTTTAGATAATGTTTATTAATAAGCAAAAGATTTATGCGTGTATACGTTTGTGTAAGCATAAGAAATGTAAAAAGTTATATATTGATTGCAAATGCGGTATGTCGTACTCTTATACATATAAGCAGAATGTTATATGATATCTTGTACTCGTATGTAAGCAGAAAATTTATAATAAGATTAAACGAGATAATATTTTTTGGGATACTACATTAATATGAGATTGAAAAGGCGCTATATGAAATCAATATTCAGTTTAAAAAATACATGCTTCATTTTAACAAACTTATATACAAGTCATATTCACAATACCTAACAATTCGATAGTTGCCGAAAGAACAAGATGTACCAAATCGTTGGTAGAATAAGTATCGCATATCTGTCTTCTAATTCTCAAATACGTATTAATTTAACCACATAATACATAAATAATAACAAATAAAAACAGGCCAATAGGCACATGCGAGTCAATATTCTAAAAAACTTTGACTTATTTGTCATTTAAATTTTCTAATATTTAAAGTTATCACTTCATGAGAAGGCAATCAAGATTTAATGTTTTGCCATGGCAAATCCCACTCGGTTGTTCTTCATGTCGAAAACCGTATAATAACGACGAATAAAAATGTTGCCCAAAATCCATTCTACTTCATCATTATACGGAATACTTTGGAGCATGCAAATGCATCGGTCTTCTGTGACCTATGAGACATTTGGCATAATATAATATTTCTATTCTAAAAACAATTTAAACCTTTATATAATAATATTCTTTACCTTCCTGACATAATCTTGGCCAGTGAGTCGAAACGTCTTACCACCTATGACGAAACTGATATCGGGCAAATTAGAAATCTCGTCGCACTTCACCTTTAAACAAAGCAGGTCAATGTTAGTGATCCATATTAATAATCCGAACTTATCAAACATTTATTAATTTATTTTAATAATTTATTTAAGATAATTGTGAAAGCTTTCATTAACGAAAAGGATCTATTATTTACTGCTCCATTATTAACACCGATCTCTCTGTAAAGAGTTGCGATAGCCTGCGGTGGTCCACCTATCACAGAAGCGCCTGTGTCGACGATAGCTTGACAGCCTTCCGAGCAAAAGATGTTCTTTTCTGTTTGAATCCTGCAGTGGGATAGCATTACCAATTAGCTGACATATAATCCGCGGTTAACATAAGTCTAATTTAGAAAAAAAAAACTACATACTTATCCATTTTAAATTGCCAGTATTTTTGCCGGGTAACATCCACATACGTCAACTCGCCCACGTAACGAGAAGGATTAGTGTCACCCAATAGCAGTTCACCGTTGGAATGTGAGTTGTGCTTTCTGTATAAATTGTATATTTTTTACATTGCATGGAAAGACAAAGTATGTAATTAAAAAATAGTATTAAACACACGTGAGGCATACGGAAAGATACATACCGATTCAGATAGAAGCTAAAAGTTGGTGCAACGATTTTTTCATAAATCTCGTTTTTGGCGACAGGAGTAGGTGTCTCATTAAAGAGAGATAAGGCGGGATAACCCATCCCCAGAACGCCGTCCCATTGTGACCAAAACATTGTTGGATAGAAATTGAATATCTCTCCGAATGTCTGTGATGTTAGTTTAAAATATCCAATCTACGAAACGTTGATATTATTAATAAATAAAATATAACTGCGCGCGTTTTTTTTTTTTGAGAATAATAGCAACATATGTGCTTTTTGGAAAATTTTCATAGATTATGACTATGATTAAAATTAAATATATCATTTACTTGACGATGACTTACCCTTATGGTATCTATAGATAAATTTCCATACATTCTCGCATGACGGTAAGTAATATTAAAGGGATATCCATTTCTGAAGTATGACAAGGACTTCGTATTGTCGTATTTATTATGTTCCGCTGCAAAAAGTAGTAAATAAAATTAAATCAGTTAATATTGAAAAATCTAGAAATATAAATTTCTCTATATTATTCTAAATATATAACTAACAGTAGTTAAATCATCAAATATATTTATGTTTATATTTTTTGCTTTAACATGTGAGCTGTTCTGTATAAGAAATTATTTGTATCTTTAAAGTAAGTGTGATAAATAATGTAAATAAGAGAGTATGTAAGTATGGAACTTAGCTACATAATATTTACCTTACCACTGATTCGAATCTTTGAAACGGTTGCTTTAAAGATTTTATAACTTTACTTGAAATGTAAATGGAATAGATACAATTCTACACCATTATTCTTATCTTATATTTTTACTCGGTATCAATCATTAAACGAGAAAAAAATTATTAAGATTATTTTAATACTTGAGAAACATTAATTTTTTTAATACAAATGTACACATATAAAAATTAATAGAATGTCGGGGAGGTAGCGATGTTATGATATACTTACAGCAAGCAGGTTGGCTGACGTTGCACTTTTTGGATAGTACCCAGAGACCTGAGTAACTAGTGTCGAAAAGTATTTTAAACTTTTTCGGTGGAGTTCCAATTTCGATAACACCGTAGTATTCGAAATCTTCGTAGTTCGTCAGAACAATCGAGTCCATCTCCGAACGTCGGTATCGTCTAATGGACGATGTCTCGTACAACGGAATTCTTGAAGCAACATAAAAAAAATTCCGTTACATTATATGTGTATGTATACATATATCGTAGAACATAAATAAAATTTTCAAATAATTTATTTGATCATTTTTTCAAGCACCTTTTATTTAAAAACTATTAAAGCCTCAACATTTTGACACTAAGAAATAAATGCTATCTGCATTACGGATTAGAATGTAGTTAGGTATTTTAAGTGAGATTGGTGTCATCATGAAACGAATGATGTCACACGACGCTAATCTCACTTAAAATAAGATTTTTGAAGGAATCCTCAAAGCATCTCTTGTAATTAGTTTGCTCTTTCAAAATGCGTTTGTCTTACAGATTTAATACAATTATGGTATTTGACATTGATTTGATAATTAATTATCGCGAATTCTGCAACGATTCGAAGTAGTTGGAAGCGCGATCTCTATACGATATTATAATTCATCGTGTCGATATAAATGTGGATTGCTTGTATATAACATGTACTCACCTATACGACTCCGCGTTGATTGACGCGAAGTTGATTACCGTGATTACCGTCATCGTCACAAAGAGCCGATACATGTTTCCTGAAGTTCTTGGCGACTGAAGCTACACAAGTCAAAATTGTTTCAGAACCGTTGGAACTGCGAGTCAATCCACAACCGAAACGTACAGACAAAAAACAGGCAGTCAAATTGTTGAGTGTTCCCTTATATACAAATGTGCGTTTATGTCCTTGTGCTTATAAGAAGGTGGGGGCAGGAGGGCAGAAAAACAAGCGAAGCATTCCAAAGCTTTGTGTTCGAACGATATTAGAAATCGCTTCGAAATCTCGGATGGAGAAAAAAGATTTACTAATCATATTTAAGCAACTCGGTAATTGACCAATGCGGGTCAGTTGCCGAAAATTTAAAGATTTTATCAACATAAAGAATTTATGAAATTTACGAATTTTATCAACATAAAAAATTTGTCAAATTTAAGAACTTTATCAACATAAAGAATTTTGTCAGTTTCCAAGAATTTTCTCAAATTTCTAAGAATTCGGGTTTTCAAATCCTACTTTCGTGAAAATCAAAAGTCTTAAAAATTGACAAAGTATTGCAATATAATTAAGAATGATCAGGAGCAAGGTGAAATAAATCATAACTTCAAGCGTAATGAATAAAATTAATCCTGTTAACATTTAAGCTGTTAAAATATCTAATTTGCGTGATAATGGTACGAAATAAACACAACATATAGCAAAAGCTCCAATCAGCATCGCGGAGAGAGAACAACGATAAAATCAATATTTTTTGTAAAGGAAAAAAAGTTCTTTCTACACTGTCTCATAAAAGTTGTATTGCGCCTCTTGCGTCAATCAACTTGTGCATTTCTGCAAAACAGATTTGCCATTAGGTTTTAGCGGACAGGAGATGGACGGACGAGTAAAGAAACACACAGGCACGTTTCCAATATGGAATTAGTGTTGTATATTTTACAAAATAAATAGAATATAAACAATCTAAAGTCGTCTAAAACACAATAGTACGAATTTCGTGGTAAATTATTTCGTGTGTCGTAAAGATAGACGATATATCAACAGGGCGACTCCTTTTTCGCTTTCCTCCACCTCGCGCGAATGGCTCGAGGGCTGAAATAACAGGGGGTGGGGGCACATGGTGGGGGGAATGACGGGGGGCACGGGGGAATTTAAACTAGCCGACCAAAAAATCATCGTCATCCGACCGAGGGTGAACGGTAACCCGGGTAACCCAACCAGACAACGTGTGACGTTTCGGCACGATGGCAACACGTGGTATCAAGGTTGCGATGACATGATTCGCAAAACAGTACTTTTCTCGTGTACCTCAATAATTTCTCGCGCTAAGAGGGAGAGAGAGACACGTGCAATTGTCGGAGAACGATTCGCGGGTGGTTTCGATCGATCGTAAGTTTCTTCGCGGTCGCGTTGGTCGCTTTGAAATAGAGTAAGATGGCAGTTACCGTTATACTTTTACAGTTTAATTGCAGTCGTCGCGCGTTCGCGTCGTATTTTCATCGTAACACTTAGAAGATTGTATGCGGGGAGGGAAAGGGGAGGGCGTACGTGCGGTTCACGTGCTTTCGGAAGCAGGCGTACAAAGATCGTCGCGTGGAGGGAAGAAATCCGAGGTGGATGCGGATCGCGCGTATATAGCACCGGCAATTTAACTAACTGGGATTATTACACGGAGCGTGTGGAATAAAACGTGGCAATTTATACAGATCGTCGTCGTCGAAACGCTCGTCCGGTGTTCCACTTGCTTTTTTTGCCGCCGCAAATATGGAACAGACAACAACGTAGAGCTCGACCCGCTCCGCTCGAGCGCTCGTACGAGCACGCCCGAGCAACGCGATGCGTAAAACTTGGCGGTTCCATCCGGAAAGGAACCAATAAATACGGCAGCTTATTCTTTGATTCATAGATTCTCTGTCTCTCGTTAAACTTAACTTTGTTTATACGATCAATCGTGACGTGTTCGCGATCGTTCGCTTAAATCGTTTTTAGCCCTAATATAGTTAAGCCGAGAAATAATCTTGACGTGTCGGTCCGATCTCGCCGGGAAACGGCGGGTGGCAGTTTACGGAGCACGGTAGTCGAGCTGACGGACGCGTTCTCGTCGACGTAGGCCGGGGCGTAGGACGAAGGAGAGAGAGAGAGAGAGAGAGAGAGAGAGAGAGAGAGAGAGAGAGAGCACGTGGAATTATAATATCACTTGAGTGGCTGGGGCGATCCGATGCGAGGCGCCAATTCGCATTAACGAAACGACGGACCGCGGCATGCATAAATTCTCGCGCGTTTTTTCCCCTTTACTTTTATACTCTCCTCTTTATTCTCTCGCTATCTACTTTTTTTTTTTTAACTCTCTTCTCTTCTCTTTTACCTTACGGCGACGGGTTCCCGCGTACGCGTCGGAAGCTTTTACACGCTATTTACACCGCGATTACGAAGTCACGGACGTTTCGTTGACTGTTGTGACTGCGATCGAAGTCGCACTCGGCCTCGCTTAGCTCAAACGCGACGGAGAACCCCGAGGGTGGTTCCAGCTTGGAGACGAACAGGTTTCCTGATCCGTCACGCTCCTGGTCCCGATTGGCACAGGGATTGCCCGACTGGTGCGTGGGATGGCCAGGCCCGGAGATTGGCCCGAAGTGGGCACGGGCCTCCTCGCTAGTATGACGCGCCAGCTGTAACATCCTGAAATGCAAACGGATCTTCTTTTATTCATTACCTTGCAAGCTATATGACATATTAAGTTTAGAATTTAAAAAATGTTAAACATGATAATACCAATATAATAATACAATCAATTTAGAGAAAAGGCAGTTTTACAGTCAAAATTGGATCTTGATTGCCTAATAATATTATTTGCGTGAATTTATGTAATTTATCACTCCAGCAAATTACGCGCCGTTACTTTCGGACGTTACTTGAAACGTAGTCTCAACCAAAAGTTATAGAACAGATATTATCACATAATTAAATTATATTATCAATATTATTTATAAGCAACAAAAATCTAGTCCTGATCTAGTAAAACAGCCTTTTCTCTAAATTGATTGAGAAATGTGTGCAGATAATATATGTTTAACTATCGAAGAGATAGCGATGTTATGATATACTTACAACAAGCAGGTTGTCTAACCAGGATGCAGTCTTTGGATGGCACCCAGAGATTTGAGGAACCAATGTCGAAAAGTATTCTAAACATCTGCGGTGGAGTTCCAATTTTGATAATACCATAATATTGAACATTCTTATAATTAGTCAGAGTAACCGTAGCCAAACAGAGCTGTATCATATTATTGTCCGTAGAAGATTTTCCAACGGTGTATGTCCTGTATAACGGAATTCTTGAAAAAACATAAGAAAAATTTCATTATTTATACGCATATAAACGCGAATGTACAAATATCATTCAAAATAAATATAAGTTTCGGATATTTTAATTGGTCATTTGGAAGCACTTTATATTTGACAACTATTAAAG